CAACAGAATATTTCAGTCAGGCTGCCTGTTCCGTTCCCCACTCTGTCTCTGGTGAATCTTCTTACCCCTCCATACCTCTGGCCTGTACCACAGTACTTGTATGCATAAATAATTAAATCTTTAAAAAAATGTGAGGCATTCCTCAGCCCAGGGGTCAGCCCCCACACCAGGGGAGGTGTGTGGTCTTTGTGATGGGTCAGGACCTCAGCAGGCCAGAGGGGCGGAAGCGCCTCCTGTATATCACAGTGGTCCTGTGTGCTGTGCTGCTCACAGCACTGGTGGGCGTCTACACCTGGGCGCCCTGCAGCTGCAGAGTGGGGCCTGTGCTGCTGTCTTCAGAGCAGGAAAGACCCCAGGTGTCTCCGTGCTGAGGAGCAGCATAGGGATGGCTCCTTCAGAGACCACACTGCTGTCTGTGAAGAAGGCCTGGGGCACAGAGACACTGATGGTGGCGAAGAGAGAGGAGGTAGTGACTGAAGAGCCCAGGCCAGGGTGTGCTGTGGTGTGGGCCTCTGGCCCCTAAGCGAACTTTCTATGGCAGCTTAACATAACTGGATCCATTTTTAAACAAATATTTGTTGAGTTTCTACTGTGTTCCAGGCACCCAACTTGATACAGTGAACAGGAGACAAGATTCTTATCTTCGTGGAACTGATGTCAATGATGCTTGACCTGTCCGATTGTTGTATTATATGTGCTGTATAAAAAATTAATCACTATTATTATTGATTAATCAATGTTAATGAACTGATTGAGAGTGGGGCAGACACCACTGCATCTGTGAGCCCTGCAGTCTGCATTTGAGCATCTACTTCTGAAGGAATTAGGGAACAATGAGACTGTCCCCAGGACAATCTGTGGAACTATGGAACAGCTGTCCAGCAGAGCCCAGGGATGCTTAGTTTCTTTTTTTTTTTTTTTTTTTTTTTTAAAATATTAAATTTTATTTTTATATTCCCCCATACAATTGCAAACGCCCCATTCTGACCCCAATCCTTCCCCTCCCGCCCCCCACCCCCCAAAAAGTGTCTCTGGTTCATAGTTTTTTTGTTGATTTTGATTTTCACTTTCTTATATTCATTTTCCTGGTCCCTTATTTAAGTTTTCTAGATTCCTGCTATGAGTGAGACCATCCGGTATTTTTCTTTTTCTTTTTGGCTTATTTCGCTGAGCATGATCCCTTCCAGTGCCATCCATGTTGCTGCAAATTGCATGTGTTTATCTTTTTTGAATGCTGAGTAATATTCCATGGTATATATGTACCACATCTTCTTGATCCAGTCATCTATTTTTGGGCATTTGGGTTGTTTCCAAAGCTTAGCTATTGTAAACAGTGCTGCTATAAACATAGGAGTGCAGGTGCTCTTTGGAATTGATGTTTCTGTGTCCTTTGGGTAAATACCTAGGAGTGGAATTGCTGGATCATATGGAAGCTCTATGTTTAGTAGGTCCAGAAATCTCCACACAGCTCTCCATAGTGGTTGGACCAGTTTGCACTCCCACCAACAGTGCACAAGAGTTCCTTTTTCTCCACATCCTCGCCAACATTTGTTGTTGCTAGTTTTTTTAATATGTGCCATTCTCACTGGTGTGAGATGGTATCTCATGGTAGTTTTGATTTGCATTTCCCTGATTACAAGTGATGTTGAACATTTTTTCATATGTCTGTTGGCCATTTGCATTTCCTCTTCAGAGAAGTTTCTTTTTAGCTCTTCTGCCCATTTTTTGACTGGATTATTTTCTTTGTTGTTGCTGAGTCTCATCAGCTCTTTGCAGATTTTTGTGATCAGTCCTTTATCATTAGTGTTGGGTGCAAAAATGTTCTCCCAGTTGGTGGGGTTTCTCTTTGTTTTTGTTATTGTCTCTTTTGCTGTGCAGAAGCTCTTTAATTTGATGTAGTCCCAGCTGTTTATCTTTCTCTTCACTATCACTGCTTTGGGTGATGTGTCTGTAAAGATGTCTTTGATGTGCAAATCCCGTAGTGTTTCGCCTATATTTCCTTCTATGTATTTTATGGTTTCAGGTCTTATGTCTAGTTCTTTAATCCATTTTGAGTTGATTTTTGTGTATGGTGTGAGGTAGTGGTCAAGCTTCATTCTTTTGCATGTAGCGACCCAGTTTTCCCAGCACCATTTATTGAACAAACTTTCTTTGCTCCAATGCATAGTCTTTGCTCCTTTGTCAAAGATTAGTTGACCATAAATCTGTGGGTTTATTTCTGGATTTTCTATTCGATTCCATTGGTCTGTATGTCTGTTCTTGTTCCAATACCATGCAGTTTTGATGATTATGGCTTTGTAGTATAGTTTGAAGTCTGGGAGTGTGATGCCTCCATTTCCTTCTTTTTTTTTCAGTAGAGCTTTGGCTATTCGGGGTTTTTGGTGATTCCATATGAATTTCATCAATAATTGTTCTATTTCTTTGAAGAATGCCATTGAGATTTTGATTGGAATAGCATTGAATCTGTATATTGCTTTTGGTAGGATGGCCATTTTAATAATGTTTATTCTTCCAATCCATGAGCAGGGGATGTCTTTCCATTTCTTTGTGTCTTCTTCTATTTCTTTTAACAGTGTTTTATAGTTTTCTTTGTATAGGTCCTTTACCTCTTTTGTTAGATTTATTCCCAAATATTTGATTTTTTTTGTTTCGATAATAAAAGGGGTGGTTTTTTTGATTTCTTCTTCTTCAGATTTATTGTTTGTGTATAGGAAGGCTACTGACTTTTGCGTGTTGATTTTGTATCCTGCCACTTTACTGAATTGATTGATGAGTTGAATTAGTTTTTCTGTGGAGATTTTGGGGTTCTCTATGTATATTATCATATCATCTGCAAATAGTGATAGTTTGACTTCTTCTTTTCCTATTTGGATTCCTTGGATGTCTTTCTCTTGTCTTATTGCTCTGGCTAGGACTTCCAGTATTATATTGAAAAGCAGTGGTGAGAGTGGACATCCTTGTCTTGTTCCAGATCTTAATGGAATTGCTTTCAGCTTTTCACCATTGAGAATGATACTGGCTGTTGGCTTGTCATAGATGGCCTTTATGATGTTGAGGTATGTTCCTTGTATCCCAAGAATTTCAAGGGCTTTTATCATGAATGGGTGTTGCACTTTGTCGAAAGCTTTCTCAGCATCTATTGATATTATCATATGGTTTTTATATTTCTTTTTGTTGATGTGTTGGATAACGTTGATTGATTTTCGGATGTTAAACCATCCTTGTGCCCCTGGAATGAATCCAACTTGGTCGTGGTGAATTATCTTATGGATACATTGTTGGATTCTGATAGCTAAAATTTTATTGAGGATTTTTGCATCAGTGTTCATTAGGGAGATTGGCCTATAGTTTTCCTTTTTTGTGTTGTCCTTATTCGGTTTTGGTATTAGTGTAATATTGGCTTCATAGAACGTGTTTGGTATTGTCCCTTCCTTCTCAATTTTTTGGAAGAGTTTGTGAAGGATAGGCACTAATTCGTCTCTGAATGTTTGGTAGAATTCATTTGTAAATCCATCAGGTCCTGGGCTTTTGTTTTTGGGGAGGTTTTTAATTACCATTTCAATTTCGCTGCTTGTAATTGGTCTGTTTAGGTGTTCTATTTCTTCTTTATCTAGCTTTGGGTGATTGTAGAGTTGTAGGAATTTGTCCATCTCCTCTAGATTGTTGAACTTGTTTCCATATAACTGTTCATAGTAGTTACTGATTATTCTTTTGATTTCTGCTGTGTCCGTTGTGATTTCTCCTCTTTCATTTATGATTCTGTGTATTTGTGCTTTCTCCCTTTTTTCCTTTGTGAGCCTGGCTAGGGTTTGTCTATTTTATTTATTTTTTCAAAGAACCAGCTCTTGGTTTCATTGATCTTTTGGATTGTTTTTTTAGTTTCAATTTCATTTATTTCTGCTTTGGTTTTTATTATTTCTTTTCTTCTACTGGTTCTGGGGTTTTTTTGTTGTTCTTTTTCTAGATCTTTGAGCTTCGAGATTAGGTTGTTTCTTTGAGTTCTTTCTTGTTTTTTGATGTGAGCTTCTATTGCTATATATTTTCCTCTTATTACTGCTTTTGCTGGGATGCTTAGTTTCTTGCTCAAAGGCATCACTCGGAATTCAGAACCAGTATTCAGACCCAGGGTTGTTAGACCATATTATTCCCTATTACTAGAAAATCTAAGCTCAACCACAGGATCAAGCACACAGCATTCTTCAATCACATCTGTTGATTGTCTGTGGGTTGAAAACTCCAGCTTAGGTCCCAGGAGTAGGAAAGTCTGCCCAGTTTTTCACCATGTCACAATTCTTTGCCTTGAGGACTAACACCGTACCAGCTTGTGATCTAGGTTGGTCCCACTGTTACTGCATAGCCAGTTCCCGGGCCCAACATGTCCTGATGCAGTGGAACTTGTTCCAACTCCACTCCACAGGCTGGGGCTCTTTTCCTGAGGGGCCACATTTGCTGACCCTGTGGGTTTGGCAGTACCCTCCTCTTTCTCAGTATGGTTCATGCTGGCAACTGATAGCTCTGCCTTGACAATCAAAGTTCTGGATTTGTCAGGGGCCCAAGCTCTACCCGGGGCTGGGATGCAGGCCTGAGTTTTCAGAGAGAGGCTTTCCTGACCACCACCCCAGAGACAACAGTGCATCCCAGGCTTTCATGCCTATACCAGGCCTCCCAATTCCTGGGCTGGGTTGGGGGATAATTACTGATAGTTCTAGCTCCAGATCTCTTACTGTCCAGGCAATGCTGCATGGGCTTGTCCTGCTTAGGGGAAAAAGCTCAGTCCAGGCCTGGATCATGTTCAGGAAGGCAAGCCCTTACAAACATGCTGCTGTTAGTGGGGTTCACATATCAAGTTGCATAAAATTTTTGCAATCTTGCACCAAATCAGTTACAGGGGAGGAGGGTGAATTGACTCACTAAAGGAACCAGGAGGCAGGCTGAACTTGTCTGTAGGAGTCAGCTAACACTAAAGCAAGCAGGGAACAGGAGGTCAACTTGGCCTTCAGTTAACGGATTTTATTTATCATTTACAAAAGAGGTTGACTGCATGCAAATTGTAAGGATGCTATATTCCCTGTGGAGAGCAGACATGATCCAGCGCAGCTGCTTCTGAAACATGGGCTGCAGAGTACCTGGTAGTTCAGTCTGGGCTCCTAGCTTCTTAGAGCCCACCTCTTACTTAACACTCTCAGGGTTGGGGACTGCAGATACCCCCAGCAAGAAGCCTGTACCCTGGCTCAATATAGACTCAGAAATCAAGAAAATCACTTATGTTAAAAATCTGGTTAAATAAAACCTGACAAATTCTAGAAGGGTTATTAATGAGTGGAGCAAAATGCAAAGAATTGTTCTCTCTCTCTGTACACTCTGGATTTCCTTATAGCAAGTGTCTTTAAAGTCAGGGTGAACTTCTTTTCTTTAACCATAGAGGACGGCATGTCTTCTCTCCTGGGCAAGACTGTCACAAAGTGATCAAGTATGCCCAGAAAGAGGAAAATGAGGAGCTGGACCCTCTGACGATGTCCTTGGTACCACCCCACTATGTGGCCCTGGGTAACACTCCTCTCTTGGGAATTCACTTTCATCATCTTGGAAAAATGGAGACTTGAGCTGAATGTGCTGCCCAGTTCTGGATGTCTCTGGCAGTGGCTGGTCAGAGCCATGCAGAGAATATGTTCTGGGGAGAACAGAAGGGGAGGTACTTACGTCAAGGACAATGCCACCTCCCAGCTCTGGCTGCTGAGGCTCAGTGCCGGCTTCCAAACCCAACAAAGTATCTTCACAGATGCTTGGCAGAGTAGCTGAGAAGCTCCTAATACTTTCTGGAATTGCTGCACCCCAGAGAACTGGCCTGCAGAAAATACTTTCCACTTGTGCCACTCTGCATTTGGTTAAAGCCTTTGTTACTACTACTACTTATTTCATTCTCAGTCTTAACCTGTGCGTGAGGCAGCTGGGATTTATCTTCTTCATTTTACAGATGAGGAAGAGGATGAAGAGGGTGTTTAAGCAGCTTTCCTGAGGTCGTACCACTTTTGGGTACAGTTCCAGCATCAGCATTAACTTTTTAGTGCACCTTTGGCCTCTCCTGGTGCATTCATTCTCCTATGGACTGCAAGGTTCACTGACTCCCAATCTCAGCCTTAGCAAGGACTGAGCCTCCTTTTCCTGTTCCTGCTCTTACAAGTAGGTTTCAGGATTTAGGTTCTACTCAGCCTTGTGGTTAGGGCCCTGATTTTCGACTTAGGATGCTGAGGCCTCAAGAGGCTCCAGGGATTGTGAGGCCTGGAGTTGGAGAGAAGACATACAGCTCTGGCTCCTTGTTGGCTATCAGCCTCTGCAGAATGAGTAACATCACAACTGGATCAAGGATCTGGGTGACTGGGAAGTATTTGCCAATTGCATCCCTAACCAGAGAAGTCCCTTGTTTAGGTGCTGTTCAGAGCCTTAGATATGGGATTTATATCATTAAACAAAACAGGGGTGACCCTAAGGATTAGAAGATGGAGCATGGTCCAAGTAGCAGGAGAGTTGGGGTGGGAAAAGAGGGGCCATGGGCCATACTCTAGAAATAAGCCATATTTTCTGCATTCTTCTTCTCCTCAAACTTTTGTCTTAGCTCAAAGACCAGTGCTGACTGGACAGGGCTTCCCAAGGCCTCAGGTTTTGACTGGGCTTGCTGAGGGGTGATTGAGCCAGAGACTGTGGGCACAGTCCAGTGGGCCGGACCTATGTTGGGTACCATTCTGGGTGATGGAGGGAGAGGCGGGGCTGTGGGGGGTGGTGAGCTTCCCAAGCTGTTGTTGTTACAGTTCTCATTGGGAGGGTCATCTCTGAGCACAAACTTGGCAGCAGCCTTGGTCCTTCTGAACTTGAGCCACTCAATGCGGATGGCTCGAGGTGCAGGGCTGGGCCGCTTGCGGATCACGCGCCGTATGGGCAGGACCTTGTTTGACTTCTTATTGCGCCAGAAGGTGGCGGTGGAGATGAGGACGGTGATGGCCACGATGGTGGTCATGATGCCAGCCAGCACCCCCACAGCCTTCATGGGGTTGTCTTTGGTCTGCATCAGGAAGGCGGCCATGGGGTCTCGGGACAGCATCTGGAAGAAAGCCACCACTACAATCAGCTGCTCCTGCCTGGGCCCCGCAGGACAGAGCAGGGGGTGTAAACTCACTTAAGCCTAATAATTTTTAGATTTTTCTGGCGTCAGGAGTCCCTTGAGAATCTAATGAGGACCTTGAGCTCCATTCCAGAAGAAATGCACTTAAAGAGAATGTAATGCTTGCAGCTCTCCGAAAAAGTGCATGCAGAGATAGTGTGGTGCAAACAACCTTTTTGCATTACTGGACTCTGCTCTTGAGACAGTTAGAGATCACTTGAGTTTGGATGGGGGGAGGTATCTACCCTAATGTATTGAGAACCCCTTGAGTGATGACTTCTTGTCAGAAACTGAGCTGAGAACTACCAAGTAAAGGAGGTAACCTTATTCAAAATTTAACAGGTAAGGAACTGGAGAACTAGCCAACACAATAGGTAGTGAAACAAGGATCTCAGCATGACTACAAAGCCTGTGTGTTGGATGACACTGGCAGGCTCTGCTAGCTTGGAGGGCCCTTTAGAGGAAGGCTGGAGTGGATCTTTCTGCCTTTGCTTGTGTTATATTGACTCTTTGGAACTCTTCCTGACCTGGGCTTCATACCCACCTCTGTGTCTATGATGTCAATCTTGAGTAAGGCTGTGGTGCTGAAGGATGGAGAGCCGCGATCCTTGGCCTGCACCTCCAGGGACCACATGTGGCCCCCACTGGGCGTGATGTTGTGCAGGGCATCCAGGGAGCGGATGGAGTTCTTGAGCCGGATCTCCCCCGTGTGTGCATCGATGTCAAACACGTTGGCTGGCTCTGCGTGGGTGATGGAATAATCCACCAAGTTGTTGGGCTCCTCTGCATCCTGGTCTGTGGCCTGTGAAGAGGGAGGGGCACAGAGCTGGGTTTGGAGCATCATGTGGACTCTGGTTAAGCCGTATGTCATACGGGGCTGTCTGGGTTGATGAAATGGTCCTAATCATATTTTGAGTGAACTGGAGCTCGGAAAGGAATTGAATGAGCACCATTCTATGACCAGGGTCGACACTAGACCCTACATTGTGTTATAATATTCCAGTCTCAGACAAGCCTAAGAAGTAGGTATTATAAACACCACAGCTTGGATGCTAAGTGATTTGACTATGGATACATAGGAGGAAGAGGAGCTGGGATTCAAACTCAAGTCTGTTGAGGTTTCAGTGTTCACACTTCCTGCCTTGGGAAGGCTGGCTAGTACCGTGGGAGAGCATTGTTTTGAAAACCGGCACATTAGCTATTTGAACGAATGTAACTAAGCCAAACACTTAACCTGTCCAGTTCCCAATTTTTGTTTTGTAAAGTGGCAACAATATCTTCTTTCTCAGAAATTATTTCTTGGTTGAAGTGGAGAAAGGGACATTACACATCTTAAGTCTTTCGCCCATAGTGGAAATCCAACAAATCTTATTTTAAAATAAATCCTTACGCTACAGTGTCACTTGAATTATTGGAATAAGACTTTCAGGGGAACTCAGCTGGTTTTGAAACCCACCTCAATTTTCACTGGGGTCCCCAGCACCATCGTCTTCTCCTGGATGCTCTTGCCAAACTGGGGGTAGTGGTCATTGACATCCAACAGAGTGACGTACACCTCGGCCAGGCTGTACCTGCCCTCCATATCCTCCGCCTTCACGTAGAAGTTGTACCTGGCTGTGTCTTCAGCATCCAGGCTGGCCCAGGGCTGAGTGTAGATGATCCCAGTGGATGGCTGAATTAGGAAGCTGCCGGGCACAAAGATTGCAGGATCGGTGTATGCAGGTACATACAAACACACACACACAGACACACACACACACACACACACATGCTTGTGGTAATGAGCTGACTCAAGAAAGTGGCAGTAATGCATTATGTGGCATATCCCATGGGCTCCTCTCCCCAGCCTTGCAGGTCTGACGGAGGGACCAGGTCCACCTAACTCCTCACCCATCTATCAATATTGAACTTATCCCGAGTCACAGCCTTGCTCTTTCCCTACCAGTCTGCCCTATCCCTAGTCCAGCACTGCTTGCCCACTTCCTGGGGCCATCATGGGCCTTGACTTCAAACAATGATGGTGGCCCTTCTGCTCTCAGACTCCCAGCCCTGAGCCATGTGTCCCTACGCCTCTACTGCTTCCCTCTATTCCTTGCCCCATGCTTGTCTCTGTGACTCAGTTCTTCTGCTTTCCAAGTCTAGCACAGACCTTCTTCATCCTCATCCTCCAAATCCCTTGCCCAAGGCACTGACCAGGATTCTGTTCTACTCACAGGTCTGCCCCTGACCCGTAGATGGAGTATCTGACTTCGCCCCAAGGACCTGTGTCTGGATCCACAGCCTGGAAGAGAGAAAGCTCACAGTGGCACCTGCTTCTTTGACAGAACAGGGTATGTTGGCAGCTCATGCATCTGAGGATTGCTTTCGGCAGCAGAAAGAAGGGACTTAGGGCTTATCCAACTGGGGAGAAAATAGGAGGCCTGCTCCAAAATCCTAGCTTTCTACCCAGGAGGTATCAAGTGTAGAAGGAACCAAAAGAGCAATAGCAGGCCTCTACTCCTCCTCGGAAATGGGGAAGGAAAGGAGATGAGTCCCATGCCACGGGCTTGGGATTTGTACTTCTGTGTCGTATTGTTTTCCCCACTGAGTAGAAGAAGAAACTGATGTTCAGAGAGGGCAGGTCACTTGTCCAAGACACACTAACGAGTGTGGGCTTTGTGATTTGAACTAGAAGCCTGGTTGGTCTGACTTATTGGGCCTCATTCAGTGGGGGTCCCCATCCCATCCCAGTCCCCGGGCTAGTCCACAACCCACAGTGACGGCCACCACATTGGTGCCCCCTGGGGCATCCTCAGGGATCCTGGCAATGTAGTAGTGGGAGGTGAACTTGGGGACATTGTCATTGGTGTCCAGGAGCTGGATCACAACATCTGCTGTGGAGCTGAACTTCTCCGGGGTGTTCACTTCAATGGCCAGGAGCTGGGGGAGGAAAGAAAATGAGAACTTATCAAGGTGAGTCTTCCTGCAGAGTCCTCCTGCAGACTGGTGCAGCACCCACCTGCCTTGCCTCCTGGTCTTTCTCTCAGCTGCCAACCAGCTATGCCTGCCATCCCTGGCAAGAAGCCCTATGGCATACATTGTTGCCCCACTCATTGGTGGCCATGCCTGTTTTCTTACAGATCCCATTTGTATTTGGGCCAGTTTCTTTTGTTCTGCTGATCGTCATATTCTTTTTTACTTCCATTTTTTAAATAATATTTAATATAATCTAATTTTGTTAGAGCAAGTTGTTATCTCATATTCTTTTTTTTTTTAATTTCCCATTTTTTCAGATAAAAACTAATTGTGCCATCCTTACCACCTCCTCAAAGGATTTTCCAGGTAAGACTTATCTGAGGTGGCATTGGAGTTTTCATTAACTTAATGGGAATTTGCTTTTTTTTTTTTTAAACAACGTATGCTTCATTTTTACCTTTCTTGCCTTCTTTATATCCCTTTTTAAATTGTGTTTTTTATCATTTAGATACTACATATTTCTTGTTAGGTAATTCCTGGGAATTGTATTTGTTAGCTATTGTAAAAGAGAATCCTTTACTCCACTATATATTCTCATTGCTGTTTTTCCTATATAGGAAAATGATTGGATTTTAGGTATTTGACATTCATGCCAGCAATGTTGTTATGTTTCTAACAGTTTTCAATCATTTCTTTTTGGCTTCCTAAGAAAATAATCACAGACAATGACAAATATATTCCTTTTTAATGTTTGCACCACTTGCATCCTTTCTTTCTCAAGGAATCATGTCATCCCAGGAATAGTGTAAATAACACTGGTGATGGAAGGCACCTAGGCTTTGTTCTGACCTCACAGAATGCTTCTGGAATTTCTTTTTTTTTAACATTTATTTTCATTTATTTATACATACTGAAGTGTATGACAGAGGTGTGTGTGGGGGGTGGGGGGAATAAGAAGATTCACCAGAGAGAGAGTGGGGAAAAGAACAGGCATATCTGCTGAAATACATTGCTGAGGGGAGCAGTGGGCAAGATAGAAGAGGTCTCCTGGGCTATGTGGGTTAGCTCCCTGGCCTGGGGATGGAACTCATGCCACAGTGGCTGGCAATGGCTTGATAGGGCTGAGATTTAATCCCTGAACCACCAGGGAGGTCCCTGCTTCTGGAATTTCATGTTTAAGTAGGAGGCTGGCTAAGAAGTGTATATGTGTATAATTATAAATAATTAAAACAATTGAAAACAATCAAATTATTTTCCTTTTAATTGATAAATCAGTATGTTTGTGTATAACTTACATTATCCAGATATGCTTGTAATCTCAGTTACAGAGGGAGTATTTTTTTACCTTCTGCTAAAGTTATATCAGAACAGATTACAGATGTCAAATGCATATGAAAAACATCTCGCTTGATGAAATTTTTTTTTCTCAATCTATCAGTATTGAGAAACAGCACCATAGCACATTATATTGATACTTTCCCTTTGAACCCCTTTACAATCTAAGGGTTATAGTTATAGAAGTGGGGGGCTTGTGCAACCAGTGGGCTTTTGTCCTCACTTTTCTTCTCCCTCCTCACTTGCTCTCCAAATCAGCAGGAAGGCAGAAGAAATAAGATGAAAAAATAGGGTCAACAGGGGCAAAGGTGACAAAGGGACCCCTCAGGATGAACCCAGGGGCTGCTGTGACTTCCTGTGAGTGGGACCCCATTCACAGGAATGCACAGTATTCCCTACCTTGAAGGTTAACACTTTGAACTTTTCAAAGTCGATGGCAGCTGAGTTCTCCACAATGATTGTCACCTGGGCTTCATTCAGGACTGTCTGCGGGACCACTCGGAAGATGCCCCCAGGTCCCACCAGCCGCAAGTTGAATTTGGCATTGGCTCCCTGCGCAGTAGAGTTTGGAGGGAGGAAATAGGGAACAGAAATGAGAATGGAAACTCATTATATGTTCATGCTAGTGAGGAGCCCTTCACATCCCCTTAACCCTGGGAGGTGAGAAGATTAATCATGGGACAGAAAGACCTAGTAGGCTGTGAGGACTAAGCAAGGTCACCAGCGCATAAGGCCTAACCCTGTGCTGGGCAAGTTAAGTGACAAGCAGGGGTGGGGCATAGAGGTGTTTTCCTGTGACTGCCTTTCACTCTGCCATTGACTGTGAATGTCTTTAGGCCAAGCAGACAATCTCTCATTAGCTACTCTCTCAGCTCTCCCTCTTGGTTATGCCCTCGTTTCATTCATTTTGTGATTGAAAAGACCAAAGCCCTGTCACATAAGCATTGAAGGCTGGTGCAGGTTAAGCTTTGGGACCTTGTGAGATGGGTGAGGGGGGAGGTGGGCACATACCTGGTCTGAGTCGTTGACAGTGATCTTGAGGCCCCGTAGGATCTCCCCTTGGGGCGGGTGCTCATACATGGACAACTCAAATCGGTTCTGGGGTCCACTCTCTCCATAAAATGTAGGTGGATGGTTATTGAGGTCCACGATCCTGATGGTGACGGGGACCATGGCTTGGGCAGCTGGACTCCCTGCAGAGCTGACCTCAGTCACCTGGGGTGGGGACAGGTGGCTATGGTGGTGTGGCAGGTGGACTCTGACACAACTCCTATGATCCCCACCTTCCCAGTATCATCCCCTGTATAATCCCGCTCCTCAGTGTGGCCTGGCCTAGCAATGTGCTTCTAACTGATGGACTATGACCATGGTGATGAGGTAACTACTTTGTGATTAGATTTTAGAAGAATGTGACTGCTATATTCTAGCAGACTCTTTCTTGCTGACTTTGATGAAGCCAGCAGTTATGCTGCAGGGGCCTGTGTTTCCAGGAACTAATGCCTGATGACCTCTTGCCAACAGTCCACAAGATCTCAATTCTGCCCATCATATGAGTTTGGAAGCTAATCCCTCCCCAGTGAATCTTCAGAGAGAAGTGGCTAACAAGGTGATGGCGGGGGTGTAACACACCTTAGAACTGAGGACCCGGCTGAGTCTGGATTTCTGGCCCACAGACACTGCGGGATAGACATGTATGTCGTTTTAAGCCACTAAGTTTGGGACAACATGTTCCAACAGCCATAAGAAAGGAGACATGCTATTACTGACCCGATTTTACACACAAGTGGGAAGCATCACCTGGGGTCACACAGCTGGAGTGACAGAGCAAGAACAGGAAGAGCTCAGGTGTGTCTGGTTTGTTAATCTGCCCCCTTGCAGCCAGACATGGGTTCATACCCCAGCTCTGCCACATTCTGTCCTTTAGCCAGGAGGAGACTGCAGGGAGGGGAGATGTGAACAGGCAACAACAGAATACTAGTATGTGTTCCAAAGCCAGGGCTGAGTCTACAGGCACCTCATGAACCAGGTGGTAAATATATGAGCCTCCTAAAAGGCCTGTGTCCCTTCAGAAGCATGCCTCCACTTACCTAAAATGACCCCCTTGGGCTTCCCTGGGGGTGCAAGGGGTTAACACTGCACTGTGAAGCTGTTCATAGCCTCTGCAGCATGAGTTCGATCCCTGGCCAGGGAGGTGACTCACATGGTGCAGCAGACCTCTCCTGTCTCACCCGCTGCTCCCCTCAGCAGTGTATTTCACTCAGTCTACCTATTCTGCTCCCCACTCTGTCTCTGGTGAATCTTCTCACCCTCCCACCTTTGGCCTGTACCCCAATTCTTGTATACATAAATAAATCTTAAAAAAAAATAACAAAAACAGGCCTTCCTGGTGGCGCAGGCAATTGAGCACAGCGCTGTGAAGCTGTCCGCAGCCTCTGTAGCACAGGTTCTAGCCTGGCTAGCTGTGGAGATACCCACATGGCACGGCAGACCTCTCCTGTCTCACCCACTGCTCCCCTCAGCAGTGTATTTCAGTCAATCTGCCTGTTCTGTTCCCCACTCTATCTCTTGTGAATCCTCTCACCCTTCCGCACATCTGGCTTGTATCCCATTCTTGTAAAAATAAATCAATCTAAAAACAAACAAACAAACAGCAGACCTCTCCTAAAATGACCCTTCCTGGACCCCACTCTGTCACACCCTAGCTGCTGTCCTGACTGTCCTTTCTTTGACGCAGACACCACGTGTCTCCACTTCTACTTCCCACTCCACTCAAATACTAGCCACTTCTTTTTTTAGTAATTAAATTTTTTTCTTACATAGTTGTAGTCCCTGTAGTTCTCCTGCCACCATATCACCCAGGAACCATCACCGTATTCCCTTGTGTTCATCCCTCCATTGTTTTGACCCTCCTTGCTCCCCCTCCTTTGCTGTATGCTTCAGTTCCATGGTCTGCCTACTAGTTTTGACTTTTTTTTTCAGCTTTTGTTTGGTTTTCTATATTCCACATATAAGTGAGATGTTTATCTTTTTCCTTCTAGTTTCTAGCCACTGAATTCTATGTGCACCCCATACTACTGCTCCATCTCCTGAGCACTGTTTTCTTGGCTAATGTGACTCTGCAGGTTCCTGCTCTGATCTCTCCTGGGTTCCTCTCTCCTCCCTCTAGGCTGCAGGTGCTCCCACAGCAGTGTATTTGGCCAATGGCTCCCCTTCCCCATCACCACCCTCTGGGGAATCTCATCCCAACTCATCCTTTCACAGATCCCTCTATGTTGATATGCTCTCCCCTAACTTCCAAACCTGTGTACCCAAGTGTGTATGTGTCAACTTGAATGTCCCGGCAGGCCCCAAATTCAAACTGCTGTTTTGCTCATCTTGCCTCCTCTTCTGTGTGCCCAAGATCACGGCACCTCCCCAGTCCTCATCCATCTTTCTCCCCTACCACCACCCCTCACAGCCACATTCTGTAGAGTCTGCTTCTTCCTTTTTTGCAACTTCTTCATTTCTGCCAACACCTCTCCCTTCATCCCCACAGGCCCTTTCATCTATCACCTTGGCTGTTGGCTCTGCCTCTGCCTCTCATCCAGTTCCCTCCAAACCCAAGTTAAGACATGGTTCTCAACTGCCAGGCTGGGACTGGTGCAGTAACACTAGGGACTCTGCAAAACAATGCAAAGTCCTGGGTTTGCTCTGGACACACTAAATTCCCATTCCAGGCGTGGGCCAAAAATCTCTGCCAAGTTCTCTGAATTTGAGAACCTTCTTTGTCCAGCATGCAGCCACAGTGAGCTTTTTAACAGGACTCGAATCCTGCTTAATACCTTTCAGGGGCTCTTTATTGCTCTTGAGCAGGACCAGCTACAACATTTGCAAGCCTGGTGAAAAACAAATTATAAGGGGTCCTGTTCAAAATTGATTTAAGAATTTCAAAACAGCAATAGCAGAGCATTAAGCTCAGTATGGGACTTTGGGTAGCAGCTCCTATGGGCTGTACAGGCCGCATGCCTCGGAAGCCGACCCTGCACAGGGAAATCCCCAGACATCCTATTCAGACCTCCAGTGCTTCTCTGGCCCCAAGCATTTTTCCTTTTCTATACTGTCCATGGGCTCTTTGCTCCAGCCCCACTTGACTCCCAGTTCACATCTCCCATTGCCAGGGGCTTTGTGTACATCTGCTGCAGTCTCCACACTGGATACCTGATAAAGATGCTACTTGGAGCACCATCTGCTCCCTCTCTACTGTAAGCCCCAGGGAGTAGGGGAGGAGGCCAGGGGTGGAAGATGACTCTGCATCTTATCCCTTTGCAGCCCATAGCCCTCTTCAAGCTAGAGGCAAATTACCTGTACAAAGAGCTGATATACCTCTCTCCGGAGCTGGGCTGGGCTCTGCATGAGGGAGATGGCTCCAGATGTTTCATTAATTTCAAAGACTCCATCGCTCCCTGTCACAGAGAAGTACCTTGCAGTTCTGCACAGTGCCACAGGGGGCACAGGGGAGTCATGCCAGGCAGGGGGCCACATGCTCCTCAGGCATTACCTCATTGAAGTCTCCTCTACAGAAAGTAATATGTCACCTGTGTGTTGTCAATGAGGAAACTGAGTCTCAGAGGGGCTAAGTCATTTGTCTAAGGTTACACAGTAAGTGCAGAGGGAACATCAACTCACTTCTGTATGGCTTCCAAGTTCCCCACTAATTTGCCTCTATTATGCATGTGTGCATGTGTGTGTGTGTGTGTGTGTGTGCATGTGTGAAAGAAAGAAAATGGAAGCAAAGGGTACAGAGGGAGGGACAGAGAGAGAGGTGAGAAGAGAAGTGTGGGAGGAAAGAAAGGTGAGAGAGGGAGAGGAAAGAGTCTGGAGGAGGGACAGGAGAGAAGAGGCAACTGGGTGCTTGGTAATGGTGTTAAGGCGCGCAGTAGCAGAGCGCAGGGGAGGTGGTGAGGATCCACATTCCCCAGGAAGGGGCCTGTGTGTGATGGTGGGCATGTCTGTCCTCTCGTGAGCTGCTGGAGGGGGAGTGCGCACTGGGCGCGTCAAGGGGCTGCTTGCTGGAGGCGGTGGTGTCGGAGTGAGACTATGTATCATGTTTTTCTGGGATTAGGGATCAGGCATGATGGCCAAGGGGCCTGACCCTCTAGAGACCACCTATGAGTGCTGCAGAGCCCACCCTCAGTCTTGCTCCTCCTGCCCAGTGGCGGCCCACTTGTGAAAAGGGCAGTCTCAGAACCAGCATATGTGGGTTCAAGCCCAATGATGGGAACTTGGGATGCCCATTTAGCCTCTCTGAGCCTCAGTTTTCACTTCATTCAGTTACAGGGCTAGTGTTAGGGAGGTGCCATATTATGTCACCATTGAATTTAGTTCATTTAATTCAACTATAAGTTCTAGGCCAAAGAACTTAAGAGAATGAGAAAAGAAATAGCAACTGAGGAGTGTTAAGAAGTGTTACCACCCCCTCTTGTCAACAGCGCAGCCAGGGTGAAGAGAACATGGGTCTGTGCCATCCAAGTGCTCTCAGTCCCCCCACCCAATACTTCTCTCTGTTGCTGGATAAGATGATACCTGCCAGTCTCTCCTCAGGCTGTACTTCTGGCCCTACATATGAGAGTACTGGGACCCGGGGAGGCTGGGGAACCTCGCTCTGACCCCCAGGGAATCAGAGCTCAAACTCAGTCATGAACCTGTCCCCAAAGCTGCTTCCTACTCACCGTTTACGAGGCTGTAGAGAACATGGTTGGGTTTGCCCCGATCTCCATCCACGGCGACCACAGTCAGTACCTCTGAGTCCTTGGGGGAAGAGGAGCAGTTGAATGAAACTGATGGGTGATGCTAAGGCTCTCCCCTCTGCAGACACTACCACGATCATGGACTTGGGGTACCACTGCCACCCAGGAAAAGAACCAGGACTCTGTGTGGTTGCACCCATCCTCTAGAGAAAGGCCTCAGCCTTTGGCCTCCCAGCACTGCAGGGACAGTCTGAGCCCCATTGTTCCATTCTCTCTCCCCACCACCATGCATGTGGGCTGCCCACGGATCTTGGGCCTCCTCAGGGGCCTCATCCTCGCAACACTGGTGCTGTCAGCTTTCCTGCACACTTGACTCAGCTCTTGCCTCTCTGTCCCTGCCCCTCAGCATCACACCACTGCTTCCCCCATCTTTAGCACAAAGGGAGAAGAGACAGACAAGTAGGAGCAGGGCAGAGCATGGAGAGGCTCACACCCAACATCTAGGGATTGGGTTTAATTGTATGGCCCTGGCATGTTCTTGGAAGTCGGGGATAATCAAATTAGGGAAGTGAAAATTGAGAGTGCAATTCAGCTCCACAGAGAATTCTTGAATCCTGGTCATGTGAGGTCTGGCTGGTGGCAGGGTATGGGGGCATATAAATACAAGGTACACCCCAAGGAGGGTGTGCTCACAGGGGTTGTGCATAGTGTGCTGAAGCAGCGAGAGGAGTTCCCATTTCAGAAGTGTCAGGGAAAGTGGTGTCTGGGCTGATCTGAGAAGGGAAGCGGAATCAGGCCCATGGGGACATTCCAAGCAGGGATTTAGTAGTGAGAGGGCCTGGGATGCATAGAGGACAGTGAGGGCTCGTGGGTGAAGGGAACCTTGGACCTTTGCCAAGCTGAGTTGAGACCTTCCCTGAGAGGGACAAAGACCAGACACCAGGGTGGAGACTGACTGGGAGAGGGAAACTGAGGCCAGCCTTCTAACTGGGCCCATGTGCCATGCCTGACAGGGTAGCGGTGGCTCAGCAGCAAACTGAACTACTGGTCCCTGATCGACAGGCTTGGGGCTGGGGAGGTGCAAGGGCACCTCATGCAGAGGTAGAGGAAAGGCCTCATATTTCCACCAGCCACCTGTTGTTCTCTCTGGGAAAAGGGAATGGCACAGTCTGGGCAGCCAGTGGGAGCTCCACACACATGAGCACCTGTTCCTGGCCCCTTAAACTTCCAGAGGAAAACGAGCCTGTGAGCAGGTGACTCAGGGCCCAGCCTGGTCAGCCCAGCAGGGGGATCCTGGGCAATGTCAAGGGCAGGGCAGGAGGCATCTGGAGGGGACATTGGGCTGAGGAGTGCAGCCACCCACCGGAAGGCTGTCCTCATATACATAGCCATAGTAAGGTGTGCCCACGAAGACAGGAGCCATGTCCTGCATGTCTTCCACGTTGACTGTGACTGTGGTGATGGCTGAGAACACCACATCAGCCCCTCGCAGCTTCCCTCCACCATCCTGGGGAAGAACGGGAGAGGGATGAGTGTTGGGGATCTGAAGTTGAGTAGACACCAGACTCTGATGGAATCTGGCTCCTGTTACTTAGTAGGCACAGCGCCAGCTGCCTTGAGTTCTGTTTGGTTCTAGATCACCTGCAGATAGTTCTCCCTCAGAGGGTTTGGAAAAATTAAATGAGATGATGCATGAAGGTCTTCAGGCAGTGCCTGCTATGCAGGAGGCACTAAGAAGTGTTCCCTTGGAAACAGGGTTAGTTCTCTTTCCAGGGAAGTTGTGTGTGACCCCTGGCAGAGGACAGGGGTCAGAGCTAATCTCCCTTTACGGCCAGGAACCAAACCTAAAACACCTCCTGAGGACCTACTAAGAGCATGACTGGGTGAATATAATATCAGTATGTGCCCCTGAGTCCAGCCCTGGAGTAACAGGGGATGGACTATCTTGGGTATCTTGTCCAGGCTGCAGTGGGAAGGCCTGTAGCCAACATGTGACCAGCAAGGACCTTTCTGGGAAAGAAAAGCACTGGCCTGGAGGGACAGTTGGGGGTTCCTGTCCTTGGGACAAGGAACAGCCATTTTGTCTGAGCCTCTGCTATGTTCCAGTTTCCACACCAGGCATTTTAGAAATAAGAGGAAGTTAGTTAGTCGCAGGTGTGTGCAGATGAGGAAGTGGAATCACAGAGGGGGTAACTGGTTTCACAGAGAGGATGAGGAGGACAGAGCACAACTGGCAGAGAGCTAGAGGTGCTGGAGGCCAGGTTGTATAGGATGTGAGGGGCAGAGTCTCCAGGTCTTATTAAAGGGAACTTTCCCATTATATTTCCAGGAGGGAATATGCCCTCCCAGCAACAGACACCAGCCTCCCTGGAGAATATATCTGGGCGGGGCCCACTCAACAGACATTCAAGCAGCTCCCCACAAAAGCTCCAGCTTTCTGAATCACCTTCCTCTCCACATTCCATCCTGAAAACTAAGTCTGTTCCAACCTAAGGACAGCTTCCCCTGACAAATGCTGAGGAAAGAGGTTCCCCCTTCTTTCCTCTTGTTACCTTGGCAACCACTGTGATGAAATGGGCCCGGGCCTTCTCGTAGTCCAGGGTGGTCCCAGCTCGGAGGCGCAGCACACCACTGTGGCGGTCCATGGCAAATTTGGTGGAGTGCGGGTTCTGTGAGAATGAGGGGCAGGCTGGGCCTCGGGAGAGGACCCAGTGGAGCCCCATCAATGCCCACTCTGCTTATGAAGGGATCTCCATTGTCCTCTGTCACAGCAATTCCAGCTTAAGGCTGCAATTCCAACTTTAGAGCATTTAGCCTTTCTAAGATCAGGGCTCCCCTTCATAGGACTCTGGGCTTCCCCTGTTCTTCCCTCAGTCAAATTCTCCTGGCAGGGCCTTAGCTCTTTCAGCTGGAAAGCCACTGGGTGCAGCTTTGGGCTAAGCTCTGCAGGATCCATCAGGAGACTTGTCTGCATGTCAGTAGAGTGCCCTAACCTAAAGGGACTGTCTTAAAAGCCAAAGTGACAGGAAAAAACTTTGGGACTTTCAAGCCCCACCAAGGAAGTGACACAGGCCAGTGCTAGGCAGCACCCAGGGGTGATGGTGGGACCAGGGACTAATTGTGGAGCGAAGAGGAAATTCTACAGAAACAGCAGCCAAGTGAAAGAGAGCAGCTGGTTCCTGAGGAGCCAGGAGAGGGGCGGTGCAAGGAGCAGTCTAGTCCCCTGACAGCATGGGGTGTTCCAAAAGGGTTTAGGGGGTTATTT